AGAGCCAAACCAAATCCCCCTCCTGGAGCTCAGCACCCTCCTGCCGATGCTTATCAGCTTGTGCTTTCTGAGCATCCTTAGCTTCCACAAGAATACGCCGGGCAACATCATGCAAAGCAAGAAATTCGTTAGAACGGTACACAGGGTCCGTGGAAACAATGTCATGCACCGGAGCCGACCCCCACCTAGGCTGCATACCATAAACCAACTCAAAAGGGGAATGGCGACTGACGGCATGGGTAGCATTGTTGTAGGCGAATTCAGCCACAGGAAGCCACTGCACCCAATCCCCAGCTTGCTGTAAACAAAAACAACGCAAATACTGTTCCAAAAGGCCATTCACACGTTCCGTCTGGCCATCAGTCTGCGGATGAAAAGCAGAAGAGATATTGAGCTTCGTGCCCATCTGGGCCTGGAACTGCTTCCAGAATCGCGACACGAACTGAGGGGCGCGATCTGAAATTATAGTGTCCGGAGCCCCATGTAACTTAAACACATGCTTCATAAAGAGCTGGGCCAACCCAGGTGCTGTGCGAACTTTCGCACACGGAACAAAATGAGCCATTTTAGAAAACAAGTCCACTACTACCCAAATACAGGCGTATCCCCGTGCCCTGGGGAGATCAGTAATGAAGTCCATAGAAATGACCTGCCAAGGTCTCTCAGGCACCGGCAAAGGGGATAACAGGCCACTAGGCCTTCCAGGAGCATGTTTACATTGCTGGCAGACGGCACAACTGTCACAGTACTGTAAAATGTCCTGCCTCATTTTTGGCCACCAAAAATTTCTAGTGATTAGTTGCACGGTCTTAAACCTCCCAAAATGACCTGCAGCCGGTTCATCATGGTGGGATCTAAGAATCTCAAGGCGTAAACTACCTGCAGGAACGTAGAGCTGCTCTCTGCGCAACAAAATCCCACCCTCATTGCGAAGATTAGGGAGTACAGACTTCTGGCCATTTGCTAACAAGGTGAGCTGTTCTTGAGTCCAAATGTCCTCAGCTTGCGCTGCTTTGACCTGGTCACAAAGATCACCCGCACCCTCCATTAAATTGAGAGCCGCTGTAGGTAACACAGTCTGCAGGACGGGTGCCACATCAGTCTTATATTCAGATTTCCGAGACAAAGCATCCGCCCTCAAGTTCATTTTCCCCTCAATGAACTCAACACGAAAATCAAAACGACTAAAAAAAATAGCCCAACGAATTTGGCGCTGGTTCAATTTGCGAGCGGTTAGCAAATGTTCTAGGTTACGGTGATCAGACCGCACCACCACCTGGTGCCTGGCACCTTCGAGCCAGTGCCTCCAAACCTCGAAGGCAACCTTAATCGCCAGTAACTCCTTCTCCCAAATTGTATAGTTCTGTTCACAGGGAGACAATTGGCGAGAGTAAAAGCCACAAGGCCGAAGGATACCCTTGGAGTCTAACTGGGACAGGACAGCTCCCAACACGTAGTTGGAGGCATCAGCTTCAACCACAAAAGGACGGTCCACATCTGGTTGACACAGGACTCTCCCATCAGCGAAACTGCATTTGATGGTCTCGAATGCTCTCTGAGCCTCCTTAGTCCATACGAATGGGTGGTCCTTTTTCAGGAGGCGAGTCAGCGGCACGGTGATTTCTGCATAATGGGGAATAAAGTCTCGATAATAATTAGCAAAACCTAGGAAACGTTGCACATCTTTCTTTGAGGCGAGTTCCTTCCAGGACTGGACAGCGTCCACCTTATGCGGGTCCATTTTCACCTCCCGCCCAGAGACTATGTGTCCCAGAAACTCCACCTCCGGGACATGAAAAACACACTTAGAAGCCTTGGCGAACAGACCGTGTTTCCGAAGCCTCTGCAGCACCGTCCTCACATGTTCTCGATGCTGCCGAAGGTCCTTTGAGTAGATCAAGATGTCATCGAGATAACAAACCATGAATTTATCTAATAAATCTCTAAACACATCGTTCATTAAGCGTTGAAACACAGCTGGCGAATTACATAATCCGAAAGGCATGATTAAATATTCGTAAGCCCCGAGATAAGTGTTGAAGGCGGTCTTCCACTCGTAGCCTTCCTTAATCCGGAGCAAATTATAGGCGCCCCTTAAATCCAACTTCGAAAAAACAGATGCGCCCTGAACACGAGACAATAACTCAGGAATCAAAGGCAACGGATAACGGTCCCGGATGGTAAACTTATTCAAAATACGATAATCACAAACTAAACGTAAATCACCCGTCTTCTTGGACACGAAGAACACTGGAGCCGCCGTGGGAGAACTGGACGGACGGATGAACCCTTTGGCCAGATTCTCCTCAATGTAGTCCTTCAAGGCCTGGCGTTCTGGAAGAGACAAAGCGTAAAGCCTGCCCGCAGGCAACTTGGCGTCCTCCATCAACTTTATCTGGCAGTCATAAGGCCTATGGGGTGGAAGATTGTCAGCCTGTACCTTGCTAAACACATCATAAAAGTCTTTATAGCATTCAGGAACACCTTCCACATCCGTTGGACTTACTGCCAACGTTCCACATACAGGTGGTGCTAAGGTAATGGTCTTGGCTTGCCAGTCTATTCTGGGATTAATCTTGGACAGCCAGTCCATGCCTAGGATGATGGTATACCTAGGCAAGTTAATCACATCCCAGGAAAACCGACCCTCTATACCTTGAGCCTCCCACCTCAGGGGCCCAGTCTCCATAGTAACAGACCGGTGGCCCACTAGAGCACCATCTGCTCCTTCCACCCACTCTGGCTGGCGCTTCCTTTGTAACACAATATGATGGTCCATAGCGAAGCTTGTGTCCATATAAGACCCGGTTGCCCCAGAGTCCACTAGGGCCCAAGTGGAGAACCTATTGCCTTGGTTAGAACAGAGTTCAATGGGTAAAAACACATGGTCTTTACACCGGGGCCACTGAACCGCTGGCCCTAATGTGCTTGCCCCAGTGCACATTAGGGCTGGCCTTTTCCCTGCTCCCTGGGAGCCTTGGCCGGACAACTGCGGGCGAAATGGCCCCCCGCTCCGCAATACAAACATAAATTGAGCTGACGCCGTCTCTGCTTCTCCTCCCTGGATAACCGGCGTTGACTCCCCAGCTGCATGGGCTCCTCGGAATCCAGACTGGAACAGACAGCAGCGGCGGTGACTTGAGGGGAGGGGGTAGACTGGAACTGCGGCTGGAAATAGCCCTCCTTCCTCAGCATGTTCTGTCTCCTCTCCAGTCGAAGAGCCGTTTTAGTCAAAGCCTCCCAGGTGTCAGGAGGTTCAAAGCGTGCCAATTCGATTTTTAAAGCTGGAGCAAGCCCTGCTGTGAAGCAAGTCATAAAAGCTTTCTCGCCCCAGTCCAAGTGCTGTTTCAGATGGTTGAAACGATTCAAATAGTCCAACACACATTCTTTCCCTTGCCGGATAGCATGTAACTCACGGCTGGCATTCTCTTCCTGGAGAGGGTCTCCAAACATCTCCTTAAGAGCGTCCAAAAAGCCAGCATAATTGCGCAGTAAGGGGCTATTGCTATTAACCAGATTTACTGCCCACTTACCCGCTCGGCCAGACAGCAAACTGATCACAAAAGCCACTTTGCTTTCATCTGTAGCATAAGCAGTTGCAGGCACTTGCTTAAAATAAACTTCGGTCTGCATCAAAAACAGTGGCAAACCATCTTTATCTCCGATAAAGCGCTCAGGGACGATAGCACGAGCCGTGCGCGGCCCGCCAGCCAGTCCTCCCCCACGGAGTTCATCAAACTGCGCTTTTATTTATTTATTTATTTATTTATTTACTCCATTTGTATACCGCATTTATCAGCCTGGAGCGGCGACTC